TTATTGATTTACTGATGTCGTACATTTGGGATTCATTTCATTCGGACAGTTTAGTGGCAAGTGGCTATGGGCACTGAAATGCAATGACTTAAGACTGACTAAAACTTTCTAGTCTGATAATCACTGAATGCATTTTTATAAGACCTTATATTGTTTCTTATCTTACTAATCATTAACTAATGACTATCATTATTATTATTAATATATATTCGTTCTTTTTGTCCCAACTCTTGAGATTTGGTTGATTCACATGTGAAAAAAATCAATACCCACTCTGATCATTGCATTGTCTAACTGTGACAGATCAACGTGGTATATGCGGAGCACCTTGATTCAACTATTTCTCTTTGGGTTACCTAACCACTGTACAGTCATTATTCAAAAGAGAGAGAGGCTTTAGTCAATGCCGAAAGACTAACCTGATAGCTATTTGTTTATACCTTCTCGTCACACTGGTGGTTCATTTCAAAGGAAACTTGATTTTATGACCCATTATCACGTGTACAGTCGGCAAAGATCAATACGCATGTTGAGAATCGGCAAATCGTTGAAATTTACACTGATTGGGTTTTCCCGATTACTGGGGTCTGATAGCAAAGTTGGATAGATATGTAAAGTAGTAAAAGTGGGCGACATTGTTCATTATACAGTCCCGAATACCGGACTGATCTACCCATCGCTTCGATGCAATTTTATTCGCGCCTCAACATACCACTGATCTTTAGGTAAAGTGAAAGATCACTGATTCGCTTGTAATTTATGCACCCACTAATCACTTGATACAAACATCAAGATGACTTCATGATCAGTCCGAAAGCTTAAACCACACACAACTAGAACGCACTGATTACTACGAAACAACGAGTGAGAGATCCATTAATTCGCATTAACGTAGCGACTGTTATGGTCATTCGTAAGCATAAGAATGAAGTTTTCTACACAATTATATTAGGCTATATCTTTGTATGAGTAATATGATATAGATAAATGAATATTTCTTTGCGAGAAATTCTAAAATGAATGACAGTTTACTCTGAACTCTTTCCTTCTTGTGTTGTCTGGGCTAATACCAGACCACCGCGGGGGGTGGGGGGTAGAGCGTGAAGTGATCATACCTTCGTACGTGGCGAAATGACGAAATCCGAGGGAGTAAGACCCACCCCAGACAATGCAAGAAAAGATAGATGATGTTCACTTAATTTAGCGTTCTGTTCATGCTGTTGGCAACTGAACGTATAACAACGAGATGTTCGACTCTCACCTCAGAAGGCTCTCCGCTCCAGTCTCGCCCGAGAGACACAGATAATGTGCACAGTGCTGATGAGTCCTAACCTGGATGAAATAGGTGACCCCTGCCCTGTATCATCCTTCAAAAATAAAATTTCCTTCAAGTAAGAAAAACAACATTATTTATGTTGATATATTCTGTGCTCAGGTACATACCTCCGCGTCTCTCACGGATTCGATGCAATCACACTGTACTTTTCCTCAGTATGATGCAAATTGAAACGACAAAACGAATCGTATTTGGATAGTGCATTTATTTTTATTTCCCCCAATAGATTTTGGTGCTCGTTCTCACAGGGGATGCAGTTTTTTGAAGTGTTTGTGTTCCACCACTGATTTGGTTAAACCCTCTCATGACCTCTTTAATTACTTGAATGACTCTTGTTTTAACAATCTATTTATTGATGTAGTTGTGTTATCAAAGTAATTTCTTTTGTTTTGTTCTCAATATATGGGCTTCCTGACAATCAGTGGCCCATTTTGACTGAAAAAACTACACAGTTTTCTGGTTGAAACAAGCTTGATTATCGTGATTCTGTACAGAAACCTCGGGTGAATGCAGATCCATTGAGGATTCATGTGTTTCTATAAAGCCATATCTGTTTCTGTCAAATTGAATTGTGTTATTGTTAGAAAATCTGGAAAGTTGCCATTATATTCCTTAAAATGTCCTGGTTTGGAAATTTACAAGTGTTATTTGTATATTCGTGTAAAGAAATTACCTATATAAATCCAGAATGCCTCCCAAAACTTAAATCTTTTATTCCATTACCGGTCCGGATTTTTATATCAATCCCTTCTGTTGTCTGTCAGAAGTGAGCCTGTTGTGGAACTCTTTCATTTCGTTTGTGTTCTCCGTGTTGAGAAAGTTCATTCACTATTGCTTGCAATTTTGATCCTCCTTCTGCATCCTCCCTGGACAGGCTTTGGTTTGCGTGATTTGAACTCATCCCTCAGGAGGTGGCTCTACTCGAGATGGAATCAGCGCCCATTATTCTAATCTTTTTCAGCTTAGTTTCGAGGTGCCTGTTTTGTAGAGGTGATTATTACCTTTTATTAATGTGATAAAGAAATCGCGCTGCTCTAGCATTCTGGTCACTTACTTGCTCGAAGTTGATTTGAGTGACCAACTGGAAAATTTCCAACTACCCTTCAGTTTATCCGTCCCACAATTTTTAATTCACCTCTTCCATATCCAATGTGAAAAAGCCATTGTTAGCCTGCTCCGTGACTCTGCATCTCCACACAGATAAGATAACCTATACTCTTTACTGAAGCCCTTGAGATGGCAGAAGAAAGTCACTTATAAATCACAGGATTCTTCTTCTGTTGTTCTACTTCAACTGTCCCACAGGATCAAGTATGCAATAAAAAGATCGTTAAGTGTGCAGTAAACCTGCTCAGTGAAGCGTTTGTTGGACAACTAATGGAAAACAACAATCCAGGGTTAGT